TCTTTATTTGAGATAGCTTGTATTTTTACCCTTTCCAGGTGAAACTTATTGGTTAAAGAAGAAACCGAGACCAGTTCGTGGCTGATGGCTAGGATCGAGGGGAAGTTTATCTGATTCTCCATCAAATGGTATCTCTTCGGAGAAGTTTCGCAAGAGAAGTTTGTTGTGAAATCATTGCAAGTGGTAGTCTCTTTATTTGAGATAGCTTATATTTTTACCCTTTCCATGTTAAATACCTTGGTTAAAGAAGAAATTGAGACTATTTCATGGCTAATGGCCAGGATCGAGGGGAAGTTTATCTCATTCTCCATCAAATGGTATCTCTTTGAAGAAGTTTCGCAAGAGAAGTTTGTTGTGAAATCATTGCAAGTGGTAGTCTCTTTATTTGAGAAAGATTGTATTTTTACCCTTTCCAGGTGAAATACCATGGTTAAAGAAGTAACTGAGACGAGTTCGTGGCTGATGTCCAGAATCGACGGGAAGTTTATCTGATTCTCCATCAAAGGGTATCTCTTCGAAGAAGTTTTGCAAGAGAAGTTTGTTGTGAAATCATTGCAAATGGTAGTTTCTTTATTTGAGATAGCTTATATTTTTATCCTTTCCAGATGAAAAATCTTGGATAAAGAAGAAAGTGAGACCAGTTCGTGGCTTATGGTCAGGATAGAAGGGATGTTTATCTGATTCTCCATCAAATTGTATCTCTTCGAGGAAGTTTCGCAAGATAAGTTTGTTGTGATATCTTAACAAGTGGTAGCCTCTTTATTTGAGATAGATTATATGTTACCCTTTCCAGGTGAAACATATTGGTTAAAGAAGAAACTAAGACAAGTTCGTGACTTATGGCCAGGATCGAGGGGAGGTTTATCTGATTCTCCATCAAATGGTATCTCTTCGAAGAAGTTTCGCAATAGAAGTTTGTTGTGAAATCATTGCAAGTGGTAGTCTCCTTATTTGAGATAACTTGTATTTTTACCCTTTCCAGGTGAAATACCTTGGTTAAAGAAGAAACTGAGACGAGTTCGGGGCTGATGGTCAGGATCGACGAGAAATTTATCTGATTCTCCATCAAAGGGTATCTCTTCGAAGAAGTTTCGCAAAAGAAGTTTGTTGTGAAATCATCGCAAGTGGTAGTCTCTTTAATTGAGATAGCTTGTATTTTTACCCTTTCTAGGTGAAATACCTTGGTTAAAGAAGAAACTGAGACGAGTTCGTGGCTGATGGTCAAGATCGACGCGAAATTTATCTAATTCTCCATCAAATGGTATTTCTTCAAAGAAGTTTCGCAAAAGAAGTTTGTTGTGAAATCATTGCAAGTGGTAGTCTCTTTATTTGAGATAGCTTGTATTTTTATCCTTTCCAGGTGAAATACCTTGGTTTAAGAAGAAACTGAGACCAATTCGTGGCTGATGGCTAGGACCGAGGGGAAGTTTATCTAATTCTCCATCAAATGGTATCTCTTTAGAGAAGTTTCGCAAGAGAAGTTTGTTGTGAAATCATTGCAAGTGGTAGTATCTTTATTTGAGATAGCTTGTATTTTTACCCTTTCCATGTTAAATACCTTGGTTAAAGAAGAAACAGAGACCAGTTCATGGCTAATGGTCAGGATCGAGGGGAAGTTTATCTCATTCTCCATCAAATGGTATCTCTTCGAAGAAGTTTCGGAAGAGAAGTTTGTTGTGAAATCATTGCAAGTGGCAGTCTCTTTATTTGAGATAGCTTGTATTTTTACCCTTTCTAGTTGAAATGTCTTGGTAAAAGAAGAAGTTGAAACCCGTTCTAGGTAGAACGCCAAAATTTTGGGAAACTCGTTATTGTTCTTTGAGACCTCACCTTTAGTAAAAAGTTGGTATTTTCTCTATATTTATACCTTCAATAAAAGTTGGTATTTTCTCTATATTTCTACCTTCAGTGAAAGTTGGTAGCTCACCTTCAGTAAACGTTGGTATCATCCTTTCTCTCTACCTTCAGTGGAAGTTGGTAGCTTACCTTCAGTAAAATTTTGGTCTATTCTCTTTTCTCCCTACCTTCAGTGGATGTTAGTAGCTCACCTTCAATAAAAGTTGGTGTATTCTCTTTTCTCCCTACCTTCAGTGGAAGTTGGTAGCTCACCTTCAGTTAAATTTGGTGTATTTTCTCTTCATCTACCTTCATTAGAAAGATGGTATTTCACCTTCAGTAAAAGTCGGTGCATCTTTTGAGTCTTTACCTTCAGTAAAAGTTGGTATTGTCTTCACATGTCTGCCTTCAGTGGTAGTTGATAGTCACCTTCAGTAGAAGTCGGTGCATATTTCATATCTCTACCTTCAGTTAAAGTCGGCAATTCACCTTCAGTAAATGTCGGTGTATCTTTTGTTTCTTTACCTTCAATAAAATTCGGTATTGTATTATGTTTTTTTTTATAACTTCATCCTTGAGTTGGTAGTTCATCATCATTCTTAGTCGACATTTATTTTTTTCCTCCACATTGGACCTTACTCCGACAAAGTTGAGTTGTTTCCAGCCATAAGTGCTGACGCCAAATCTTTGATTACCAGGCATAAATACTCATACCGATCACTCACTTACTAGTCTAGATGTTGATGTTTATCATCATCTCTGAGCTGGTATTATCTTTATCGTTTCTATTCACGCCCCTTCTATTTAACAATTGTCGATCCCCTGTGTTGATGTTACTCTTTTTTTGTTATCTCCTCTATGAGTGGATAGTTCACAGTTCTCGGTTAACCATTGTTATCCTCATTTTATTGAGATGATGTTATTTGGTCTCTTCTCTAAATCTTACCATAGTGAAGTTGAGTCTTCTTTTCCCCAACAGAGTCAATTTGTCTCCAATGGATTCAAATTTCTGTCCCCAGAGTCGTGTTTCTCCTCAGAGATTTACTTTTTGGGTCGACTTCTTTTTGTCAGTTTGTTGATTTTTTTCCCACTTCTCCAGTGTGTTTTATTCACCTACATGAATTTTATATTGTACATTCATAATCATGAGCATCACATGGCATCTTAGGGCCAAAACTAGGGCTTGTTTTGTATTTAAATATCTTCAATCGCGTCAAAACGAAGATTTCAACCTTCGTATCTCCAGATAAAAGACACTTAAAAAGGGAAGCTGTTATACCCCAATTTTTCCCCCTAAGATCCCTCCTTATATCATAGGCTTTGGCATTAGGGTTTTTCTCTATGAATTAAGGTCGCTACCTTACTCGAAGTTGATTCAACTGGTGCTCTCATTATTCTTGGTATGGGATTAAGGTTTTGGATCACAAGAATTATAGACTTATTCGCTAGCAGGGTTCCTCGAGATATGAGGATGTCTTCATCATAACTTCTTCGAGAAAAGAGCTTTAGAGTTTGTCGTGTGCTCAAGATTTCATCATATCTTCATCGAGAATGTTCTGGAGTCGGGGTTTTGTTCCTCTCACTATCTCAGGCCTCCTTCATTAATTAGCACTCAGAGCGAGATCATTTATGGATTCTCCTATGTTATTCTTGAGCTTGGTATTAGATCTTCAACAGAGGTTCACCATGCGAGGTTTCTCCTCATTCATTTCTCCACAAGACATTCATTTCAGGAATTTAAGAATTTAATCAAGGACTTCTTTCATGTGTTATTATTTGTCAAGTGATTGTAGAATGCTTTAAACTTTCATCATGTCAAGAAATGTCTTGTTGGTCAGTCCCTGGGTTAGGAAGCTCCTTTTTCTCTCATTTTCAAAAGGAAATGGGTCACTTCAGATGAAAGATGATTAGGATTTATAATTCTGTTGAGATTAGGGTTCATTTATCAAGCATAGCATGGAAAATGTGATTGATAATTCTTTGTAAAAAAAGTTTGGTATCCTATTCAATTACTTGTTTGCTTCTAAATTGTTTTGGATTTGAATTGAAGATTAAAAGTTGAGTTTAAAAAGTTCATGTTTACGGCTTACTTGAAATGCAATTTATAAATAATAATTTCAAGGTGTGATTCGAGTTCAAGTTTATTCCAGTAGATCATTTTGAGTTCAAATCTAATTCTCAGCTTAGCATATCATAAAAATATATCAGAAGTTTTCCAACTGCTTAACAGACCGCCAAATTTTCTAACCAAGTGGATCTCTTCCATCCAACTAACCTCCAACAGTATAACGAAAAAAAAAACAGAATTATCAATTCCTTTCACTTCCCTAGCAGCATAACCGATTCATAACTGAATCAATCCGCTCCATTCATCCATAACAGAATTATAACAGAATTGAGAGCGGATTGGTAACAGAATGGGGGGAGGGCTAACGGATTGGTAACAGAATTGAAAGGAGAAGGATAACAGAATTGAGAAAAGATAGGGAGGATTCAAAACAAATATAACAAAAACGCACCTATCTATTGAGGGATAGATTTTTATCTTCCTTTAACCATCGATTTTCTTGAAAATCTTCCTGGGACTTTCACTTCATACTTCAACTTCCATAACCATCCTTCAACTTCATCCTTCTTCTCTTCTGAAAATTCCCTCTGCAATCTCTCTTGGACCTTTAATTCACTCTCTCCCTCTGAGCTTCATCACCTTCATGATTCTCTGCATCCTTCACACAACATCTTCACCAATTCTACAACCTTCATCAAAACCGCACCTTCTTCCAACACTTCACTCCTCCATCTTGATCCATTTCTGAAATTCTGCAACGGATTTACTTCACTTCTTTATCTTCACTCTTTAATATCACTACACCTTCATGCATCAAAACATCTTCAACATAGAACCGCACTACTTTCTCTCTACACATCTCAATCTTCATCTACTTCACGTCAATGTGTAACAACACCAAAACGTAAAATTACTAAGCAATTAAGGAAACACAAGAGACGTAGAAGAAGAGAAAATAAAGTACAACAAAAAAGAAGAGGAACATCTTTTGCGTTCTCTAATTTTTTTTCTTCACAGATTGCATCACTGTAGAAGAAGCACCAGAATCTTCTCTGGTAGGTAAGCCTTAAACTCATCCAATACTCGATATCCTCCATCACTTTCGCATATATGTGTTGCGTGAAATGTTGTTCGATTGATTTAGTTTCGTTTCGAGGTTTGGTTTGGTCTTTTTTTGTTGAGTTTGAACAATATGAGAATGAAACAAATCAGAAGAGATGAGACGAAGTGAGGCGGAACAACGAACAGATCGAAGCGGAGTTGAACGCGAAGGTGATGAACGACGTTGAGATCTGCAGTGTGTAGTGGTGTACAAAGGCGGAAAGTAGAAGAAGATATATAAAAACAAGTTGAGACAAGGATTTGAATCAAAGAAGATCGAGCGAAAAAGGCTGTGTTGAGGTGATGATGGTGAAGCCGAACAAAGGTTAGGATGAATAGAAAAGTGTTGAAAGATGGAGGAGGAATCAAATTCGAAGAGGTGAGACAAAGGAAAATAGTGGCACCGTTGAGAGAGTATGAGAACTGAAGAAGAGAGAAATGATTTGAGAAGTTCAATAGGCATAACTTGAACCCTAGAAAAGCAAAATGATGTCGTCTCATTTTTTTAGCATTGTGTTTTTTTCTTCTTCAGATAATTGGTGGACAATAATTTGATGTGGATTGAAAAAATCTGTTTGGGTTTCGATGGGCCTGCCATGTCCATATCACCATACTGAGCCCTGTCATATTTTTTTTATATGCTTAATGATGTAGAACAAAAAAGCCTTATGGACCCATTTCTGTTGGGCCTTGCGCCTATAGCAGGTCGATGGGCATGAACTCCTGATTTTCACAAAAAAAAACCCTCCCCGACTCTTTTTAATTGTTGTTTTAGTTTTTTCGTTTAGTTTAAATTTCTTTCAATTTCCTTAATAAAAAAATAAAAAAAATACAAATAATAAAAACAATAAAAAGTATAGTATAGATTTTAGGAATGTTTTTTTTAGGTAATAGACTTAAAAAAACAATGAAATGTGTTAGATTTCTCATTTGATCTTTAGAAAACTAATTCCTAATGTTTTTTACTTGAAATTTGTGATTCACCTTTGTATGTTGAGTTGAGTCTTATAGGATCATTATTTGATATGTGGATGTTTTTGAATTCCAATTGTGATTTATTTTCACATCGATGAAGCTTCGACTCCTATGTTGAATATTCAATCTATGACGGTTTGTTTGTTGATGCCAGCTTGCGTGAAGTATTATGGGTTTCGTTTCTTTGGTTGCACTTTTTGCGGACATCATTGTTCGTTTAGTATTATACTGCTTCCAATTTATTTTTATGCGCATTTATCGCCTTCTAGATATTATGAGAAGTAGGAAATAAAGAACATGTGCTCGAAGTCGTTGTTTAAAGACCTGTAGCAGGCATTTCGCACTTCATTTATTATATGTGTCATGCTGGTGTTTCTTTTCTTTCTTGTTGATCGATGATTCACTCAATTTAGAAATTGAGATTACGACTTCGCTCCCAGTGCGTGCTCCCTATAGGATTTTATCGCTTTCTTTTATTTCTTGTTGATTGATAAGTCACTCAATTTAGAAATTAAGATCACGACTTCGCTCTCATTGTATGTTTTCCCATAGGATAGTTTTGTTATACTTTCTTTGGCATGCTAACCTAGATAGGATCTCTCTAGGTGTGCTCTCTTGAGATTATTGGCCTGCTTGCTTGATTTCGTCTTTGTGTGGATGTTTTGAGATGATAGACCCTTGCTATGCTCCTTTAGGACTTCTCAATTCATCTATAGATGATGAGTTGAGATAGACATTAGGATTGTTATCCAAACATGTCAACTTAGGGTAGATATTTCCCTTTAAAGCTCAACTTTAAGATTAATCATTGTATGATAACATTAGGTTAGAGATAGGTTAGTCTCCCTTTAGACTTTTCTTTCCTCTTTTTCATAATTGCATTTAAAACTAAAACTTCTTTTTCTTGGTAAACGTATAAAAAATGATAAGCATACAAAAATCCTTTTCATGGTAAAAAATACCAACCAATCTAGTTATTTTTGCCATTCGGCTTTTCTCTTCTAAGAGCATGTTTGTTCCTTTCCACTAAAGGTCGTAAGTCTCCAAAGGTCGAACAGCGGTGGAATGATTGAATTCAACATTCTTCATTTAAAAAATACAAACAAACAAAATATATGAGCCAAACTATGACGCTCTGATTCCTTAAAAGGGATACGTAGGCATCTGGTCACGGGGCTCAGTCGAGCAATTTTTTTTAAATATTTCCTTCTTTTCCCCGTGTTTTCTTTGCATGCATTCCCTCTTAGTTTATAACTCTTAAGCATTAGATTGAGTACACCCTTTGATTCGAACAACAAGAGTGGATCTCGTAGATTACAACAGACATGTGGGGTGCTAATACATTCTCCTCGCGTAATCGACTCCCTTACCCAATCTCTCGGTCACAAGACCTTGATTTCCCCTTTAGGTTTTTCTTCGATAATTTTCCTTTCCCTTTTGTGGGATAAATAAGTACTCGGTGGCGACTTCATTGATTTTACCACTACAAGTATGAAGAGCCAAGCACTTCCAGCAAAAGATCCAGAGCTGAAGATGATTATGTTTCTTGTGATGACCACAAAAGAATTATTGTTGTGATTGAGAAGAAGTACAAGCAGAGTTGTCGAGACTATGACATCCTCAAAGGGTCCAAGGCTGAACAAGAAAATAGGTATGAAGCCAAAGTCTAGGTTCTGGAGAAGCAACTTCTAGAAAAAAACACCCACCTTAAAGAAGAAAGCAACCAGAGACTTGTAGCAGAGGCCCAACTCTAGGGGCGTAGTATTCAGCTAGCGCAAGCCATCAAAGAAATTGTTGGGCTTAAGAGTCAGATGGGAAAACAATGATATTTTCAAGAAAATCAGAGCTGGATGTTTGATTTTTGTTTCATTTTTGCTATAAAAAAACCACCGCCAGGCTTGTTTGTTGGGGTTTTATTCTCTTTGTCGTGTTATGACTGATTGTCTTATATGAACTAAATTTCCTTGAGGTTTTGTGAAAGTAGAGAGAAGAGATGTTGTAGCGTGTGGGAAAAAATTTTAGGTTGTCTTGTAATGATTGTTTTCTAAAATTTATTTATTGGAAACACAAACAATATAATATCACTTCAATGATATTCACACACACTTTTAATTACTAAAAACCCTCATATAAACATATCCCTAATTTTCCTCTTAAATTCCCAAATTGATTAGCATCCAAAGTCTTTGTGAAGATGCCAGCCAGTTGCAATTCAGTGGTTGCATGTTCTAAGGCCACAATATTTTATTCAACAAGCTCTCTTATGAAGTGATGAAGGATGTCAATATTCTTGGTCCTGCAATGTTGAATAGGATTCTTTGAAATGTTTATGGCACTTAAATTGTCACAGAATAATGTCATGACATCTTGTTTGACATTGTATTCTGTTAACATTTGTTTCATCCAAACCAATTGAGAACAATTGCTTCCTGCAACAATGTACTCAGCCTCAGTAGTGGATAGAGACACACAATTTTGCTTCTTACTGAACCAAGATATGAAGTTATTTCCCAGAAAGAGCATCCTCCTGATGTACTCTTTTTATCATCAGCACTCCCTGCCCAATCAGCATCACTAAATCCAGTTAAGGAAAAAATTGATCCATGAGAGTACAAGATACCATAGTCACTTGTCCCATTCACATATTTGAGAATCCTCTTTACATGGTTTGCATGACTGACTTTGGGATCAGCTTGATATCTTACACACACCCCTACAGCAAAGTCAATGTCTGGTCTTCTAGTTGTTAGTTATAGAAGACTGCATATCCTGCTTCATTAGAGACTTTGATCTACACTTACTCCTTTTTCATCTTTAGTCAACTTCAGATGTGTGGGAGCATGGCTTCTTTTGTAACTTGCATTCTCCATCCCAAACTTCTTTACTATATTCCTCGCATACTTGCTCTAAGATAAAAAATATGGAGTCTTCCATTTGTTTAACTTGCAGACCAAGAACGAAAGTTAATTCACCAATAAGACTCATCTCAAATTCAGATTGCATCTGCTTGAAAAAATGTTGAACCATCTCATTTTACATCCCACCAAATACAATATCATCAACATATATTTGAGCAATCACATCTTCCATCCTTCTTCTTTGACAAAGAGAGTCTTGTCTATACCACCTTTCCTATATCCATTCTCCCCAAGGAATATTGTCAGTCGCTCATACCAAGCTCTTGGAGCTTGCTTCAATCCATACAGAGCTTTCTTCAGTTTATAGACATGTTTAGGAAAACTTGGATCAACAAATCCTTTTGGTTGTTCAACAAAAACTTCTTCATTTAGGTATCCATCCAAGAAGGCACTTTTTACATCCATTTGAGACAATTTAAATTTCAAAATGCATGGAACTCCTAACAAAAGTCTGGTTGATTAAAGTCTAGCAACATGAGCAAAGGTTTCATCAAAGTTCACTCCTTCAATTTGAGTGTATACTTGAGCAACTAACCTTGCCTTATTTCTAGTGACCACCCCTTTTTCATAAGATTTATTCTTGTATACCAATTTAGTGCCAATCACATTTGTCCTTTAAGATCTTGGGACCAGATCCTAAACTTCATTCCTACTGAATTGTTCCATCTCCTCTTGCATAGCATTAATCAAGAACTCATCAGTTAGGGCCTCTTTGACATTCTTAGGCTAATTTTTTTATACAAAGCAAGAGTTAGAAATCCCTTCTCTTGATTTGGTAGTAACTCCCTTGTTTGGATCTCCTATGATGAGCTCCTTAGGATGATCTTTCTGAGTTCTGATTGAAGGTCCTTAATTTAGATGACTAGGTTGGGGATCTTCATGAGGAGGATTAGAACCACTACTTGTGTCATTTGATTCAGCTAGACTATCATGCAAAGATGTTCCAACATATTCTGAGACATCTTCTTCAACATCCCATCCTCTATCATCAATAGTAACATTTATTGACTCCATCATTACTTTGGTTCTAAAGTTAAACACTTTGTATGCTCTGCTGTTTGTAGATTATCCCAAGAATATTCCTTCATCACTCTTAGGATCCATCTTCCTCCTTTGTTCACGATCAACTAATATGTAACATTTACTTCCAAAAACATGAAAGTATTTTACAGTATGTTTTCTTCCCTTACATATTTCATATAAAGTGGTTGAAGTGCCTTTCCTTAGAGTGACTCTGTTATGAATATAGCATGCAATATTCATAGCTTCAACCCAAAAAGTGGTAGGGTAGCTTCTTAGCATGAATCATGGCTCAGAAGATTCTTGGAGAGTTCTATTCTTGTGTTCTACAATCCCATTCTGTTGAGGAGTAATGGGAGAAGAGAATTCATGGTTGATTCCTTCAAAGGAGCAAAACTCAACAAATTTGTTGTTCTCAAATTCTTTTCCATGATCACTCTTGATTCTTATGACATGAAATTCCTTTTCCCTTTGAAGTCTTTGACAAATATCTTTGAACACTTCAAAAGTTCTGATTTTTCTCAAATAAAACTTATCGATATGTATCTAG